CCTCAGTGATGGGTGGAGGTTAATCGCGGGATATGCCCAAATTGACCAGGGTTTGTGCACCCTTTATACTCCTGGCCCCAAGGGAGCCTTCCTCCATGGATATTACATCACCAAGCTGCTCCACCCAAATTGAGTATTACAACACTCAGCTGCTCCATCCAGAAATCGAACTCCCCACCCTGAGGTTGCAAGCCCAGCAGTGCCCATCCAGGAATCGAACTCTTATAAGATTGTTTATTGATCTATTAACTCCATGATTTATTGAATTTTGAATGCCATTGCCACATCCAAATGTCATCATTCTTATGTATTTAATATATCAGTCACTGAACTTTTATAATATTTTTCAATTGTCATTGAATTTTAAAATATTTTTTTAATTGTAACTGAATTTTAAAAGTTATTTGAATTGTCAAAAGATTTTTATGAAAAATAAAATATCTTCATTATATGGTTATGATAGTAAAAAATCTGAACTCATAATCTATTTCTCCGTGATCCCCATATATACAGCTAAAACTATAATGCTTAATAGACATTTGTTCGTTTCGATTATACATTTTCTTAATTATGTTGCCATGTCGAAATCTTCAAGACATTGTCCACGGGCGATGTGACATTTATTTCCAACGCATTATTCGTATATATATTTTTCAAAAGAAAACCAAAAATTTAAAAAATATTTATGCTCCGTGGCACATACGGGCTGCACTTGTAGGCCGTCTCTGTTCTATAGGTGGCCCTACTCTTATAAGATGGTTTATTGATCTATTAACTCCATGATTTATTGAATTTTAAATGCCATTGCCACATCCAAATGTCATCATTCTTATGTATTTAATAGGACCTTACTACTTGTACAAAAGAATTTGTACAAAAATGTTGACAAACACTCACATGTGGGGGGGCCCACTTTTTATTTTCAATTTTTTATTCATGTGGGGCCGACAATCATGTGAGTGTTTGTCAACATTTCTGTCAAATTCTTTTTGTACAAATAGCTTTATTCTATTTAATATATCAGTCACAGAACTTTTTATAATATTTTTCAATTGTCATTGAATTTTAAAATATTTTTTTAATTGTAACTGAATTTTAAAAGTTATTTGAATTGTCAAAAATAAAATATCTTCATTATGCCCCCGTTTGGCACCCATTAATTTCTCATTCTCATTCCCATTTCCATTCTCATTTTTCATTTCAACCACACATTCTTCAAATAAAATAATATTACACACAAATCATAAACTTTTTATCACTTTTCCACCACATATTCTCACATCAATCACTATTTCAAAATTTCTATTTTCCTCAAAATTAGATTCAAACACACCCCTGTGATCCCCATATATACAGCTAAAACTATAATGCTTAATAGACATTTGTTCGTTTCGATTATACATTTTCATAATTATGTTGCCATGTCGAAATCTTACATCATGGTTTTTGTCGACAAGCACCGCTATCTAGCCAAAATTGGATTTCTCTTGCATCGATGTCATCTCATCACTCCTAAACAATAATGTCACATTTTTCAGAATAATGATATTCATCCCTAATGCGGTTGTAATCGCAATTTATGTGGCTTTAAATGATAGATTAAATGAAATGTGAAATTAAATTACTTATTTAATTTCACCTATCATTTAATGTCACATTGACGATACCTAAATTGGGGTTGTAACTTCATTATGACTAAATAGCATTACTCTATTTTTCTTGTTTACCGCAAAAATTGTCTTGAAATCAGCTCTTTTTTATTTTTTTTATTTTTGGGGAAAAAATCAATGATTCAATCCAATTCGACTTTTGACTATGTACTTTTCTAAATTATAAGGCATGTTTGAACCCCCGTCGTTTTTGAGAATGCATGTTGAAATAGTAGATTAAGAGAGGATGTATGGTTGAAAAATAAGAAAAAAGATTGAGTTTACGTATAATATTATTTTATTGAAGAACTTGTGATTGAAAAAAAAAATATATTTTAAAAATAACGAAAATTAAACGAGGGCTATAATTGGAAATCAATGGTTACTAATAATTTATTTTTACAATATTGTATCGATTAACTTGTAATTGGAGGGAAGCATGATGCTGTTAATTTATTCCCAGTGGTGGTAGCTTGACGAAGAAGAGTCTGCCCCCAAACCTTCAAACCCCAAAATCTCTAGTGCGCAGGTTAACTCCCACACCTTCCCAAATTCTTTTCTCTTTCCCTCTCTGCACCCACCGGTTCGCACGTTAGCATTCCATCCAGAAATCAAGAAAATTCATAATTAATTTTGAAAAAAAAAGACAATTATTTTTGTTTGGATTATAATTGGGTTATTATCGGGTTTTGGATCCATCGATCGATCGATGAGGAGTTGAATATGTCGAAAGTGAAGCATTTACTGCGGAAACTGCATATCGGCGATCATCAACCCCAAGGTAGACCGCCCACACTCGATCCGTCCCCTCAAACGACGCCGAACCAATCGTCGCTGGCATCTTCACCTTCATCTGACGCGAACCCGATTTTGTCCCAACCCCCTTCTGTTTTGCTGGAAAATGAGAATTCTGTATCTAATTCTAATAGTAATTTTAATTTCTTCGAGGAGGAGTTTCAAGTTCAATTGGCACTTGCTATTAGTGTGTCGGATCCAGGTCAAAATCAGGACTCGGAAACCGCCCAGATCAACGTCGCTAAGCAAATTAGTCTTGGGTGCTCGCCCTCTCAATCCCTTGCCGAATTTCTCTCGCTTCGTTACTGGGTAATTGTTGTTTTTGCACCTCTTTTAATTAATTGTTTATTTGCTGGAGATTTGGGTTCTGTCGGTCAATTGGGTCTCGTGACATGCATTTCATTTAATTGGACCAATACAATTATCCCTGTCGGTGTGAGAAAATTTCTCTGATGGCTTGTTTTGATTTCTAGAAAATTGTCCATACATCGAGTGACATTCGTTTGTTCCAAACATCCAACTGAATGTTGGCGACAAATAGAATAGTAGAAGATAATATTTTTTTAGCCTAAACAACGTAGTTTCTTCTTCTATTTATTGCGTGTACATTGAATATCTTGTCTAATCAATGTCCATACTGTGGTAACTTGATAGTGTTTCATGTGTTATCCATATAATGAAAACTTATAAAATTAAAATATCTCATTTTTACTTTGATTAAGGGCTTGTTTTAATTGCACCTTCTTCTCTCAAAACATCTCTCATTGTAAAAGCCAAAAAAAAAAAAAAAGGAAAGGAAAGACTGCATATTTAAGGTGTTGTTCTTCAGTTCTTTTTTGTTATTGACTTAAAGAAGATTCTTTTTCTTTTCTTTGTGCATGCAGAGCTATAATGCTATAAATTATGACGAGAAAGTAATTGACGGGTTCTATGATGTTTGTGGAATTGATTCACATTTGTCATCCCAAGCAAAAATGCCGTCGCTGGTAGATCTTCAACTAATTTCTGTTTTGGATCATGTTGGTTCCGATGTTGTTTTAGTGAACCGCACACTTGACACACAACTGCGGGATCTTGAGGAAAAAGTTCACTGTATGTTCTTGGAGTGCCTTGCTTTGGAAAGGGGTACAAGTTTTTTAGTTCAAAAAATTACTGACCTTATCGTTGAAAAAATGGGAGGTCCTGTTAATGATGCAGAAGAAATGTTAAAAAAGTGGAGAGCAAGGAGTTATGACTTGCAAATCTCTCTTAATACAATCATCCTTCCCCTTGGGGGTCTTGATGTTGGGCATTCACGTCAGAGAGCTTTGCTCTTTAAGGTTGTGAGGGCTTCCCCTTTTCCTTGCACTCATAATCATCGGAGTATTCTATCTTGACTTTTACTTGCATTTTGCCATTTAAGTATTCAACCTAGAGAGTTAGAAATTAGTATCTTTCGTGGGTTAGTTAGTACCTTCTTTGCAATATACTGTATATAATTAAACTAGCACGTAATTTGTTTTGCAACACATATTTGAGATAATTGCAGCCAGACCCTATCCTTTGGTTCCTATTCTAATTTTTAGGCCAATAAGTCGTCGAGCTTGTATTTTTGTGGGAAGGGATCGCTTCTGACTTTTTCCATCCAAAACAAACATAAAATACAACAAGAAGGCAATTATGCTTCATGTTCAAATAAGCATAAATAAATATGAACTTTATTTTATTTCTTATATAAAACAAGACGAGAAAACTCCCATTTCCCCCACCACCCTACCCCTGTCATCCAGTCCACCTCCATCCATCCCCTGGTTGAGATAAAAAAGCTCCTAGTTTAGAAAAACTTCGATTGGGTACCAAGCAGGAAGCTGCAATGAGGCTAGTTGAGTTAGAGAAGCCAATGTTGTAGAAATTCAGAGCTAGTATCTAAAATCTGTAAGGCAGACAATGGACTTCTGACTAAAGACATCATGCTTGATCTGAACTTCATGCAATTAGTAGGAGAGAATAGCTTGTAACTGGTAATATAATCCTAGAATTATCAATTTATTTAAACTGCAGACCTGGATGGCAGAATCCGTCTTGCTATTTGCGGGTCAAAGATAATTTCACTATCTCCCGATAATACTGATTTCGATCAGGTTATATGGATGAAGAAACACAAGGACGAGTGTCCCAGTTGAGATGTACTGATTAAAAGGGAGTTGAATGTAGACATGTTTAGAAATCTCTATAAGATCTACCTAGCCCCTCCAAGAAGGGAAAGAAGGGAAGATCTATAAATCTTAACTAAGATGTCCTGAAAGTTGAGATGTACTGATTAAAAGGGAGTTGAATGTAGACATGTTTAGAAATCTCTATAAGATCTACCTAGCCCCTCCAAGAAGGGAAAGAAGGGAAGATCTATAAATCTTAACTAAGATGTCCTGAAATTATCTCCCGATAATACTGATTTCGATCAGGTTATTTGGATGAAGTAACACAAGGACGAGTGGCCCAGTTGAGATGTACTGTTTAAATGGGAGTTGAATGTAGACATGTTTAGAAATCTCTATAAGATCTACCTAGCCCCTCCAAGAAGGGAAAGAAGGGAAGATCTATAAATCTTAACTAAGATGTCCTGAAATTACAGTTAATGACTTAAAAGTGAAAACTCGAAATTACTGAGAAGCTCAAAAGGGGTAAAAGCTGTTTTTGAATGTGAGATGCGAAAAAACAGCTGGAAGAAGCTGATATAACCATCCGTAAGCTGTTTGATTTCAACGAAATTGATGGAAAGCATTTAAGACCGCACCTTCCCTGGCAATTTTCTTTTATATATATATATATATATAGTTTAGTGCAAAATTTTATTTTCATATGATTTGATACTTGTTATAGATGAAGAACGTCAGATGCGGCAAAACTGCATTTTCTGGGACCTGTTTACCTAGAAAATTAGGGGACCCAAGAGGGAATTGTACCAAAGAATAAGGTCGTACATCTTTCACGTAAACCTATAGCATCCATTTATACTTTCTTTCCTGTATGATATGTAGGAGGAGGAGAGTGTTGACCTTATCCAGAAATTAAAATGCCAATTATCTAACGATCTTGATGTTGGACGCTAGGTACTTGCTGATAGGATCAACCTCCCATGTAAGCTAGTCAAAGGAAGTTATTACACTGGCACTGATGAAGGAGCAGTGAATTTGATCAAAATGGACAATGGAAGGTACCATTTATAGACTTGCTTCTATATTATTTTTTGTGAATACGAATGTCATATCTTTCTAGGCATTGGTCTTTGCATTACTAGTTTGGTGCAATCACTTTACTAGGCACATAATTTCTTCTCTTTCTTTACAATGTGCTTTGGAGGGTGTGTGGAGGGGGTAGGAGATGTGTTGGATGGCAAATATGATTATGATGTTTTAAAATATCAGTCAAATGCCAGTATTTTATCTTCTTCTGGAAGCTTTATTGCTCATCTACTTGAAGGTATTTGATTGATTTTGTTACTGTAGTGCTCTGTTTACAGTGGCAACTGCAAACACCTTACTAATTCAAATAGTGGACTGCTGATATAATGCCAACTCTTCTAACATATTACTGCTCATTCAAGATAGCATTTTTTCTGAAATTATAACGTTGAATTGTAATATGGGATGGATTCTTCCCGACCCCTACCAAAAAATAAAAATAAAAATAAATTGTTTACTGAAAAGCAGATTCTCAACCCCCTCAAGGACCCTCCTTTTCCTCTCTCTTGAAATTGCCTGTGTCAAATAAGAGCAATGCACTGATTTTTACTTTTAATTCCTTCCCTACTGTGTAAGCAGGTTAATAAACCTTCAGCAGTAGAAGGCATAACTCACAGATTACAAACACGGTGATAACATTGACTCGTAATTCCCCCAAAACATTGCCCGTGAAGAAACAAATTGTTAGTGTTTTACCAGCCTTACATGTAATGAGCCTGCTAACTACACAATTTTTCTTCCTCAAATATTTTTGAGAGAAAATGATATCCTGATTCCAAGGTGCCTCATACATAAAATGCCACTTCTTTTGGTACCTTAGATTTCCGAATTGCTATTAAGGGAACTCAACCCAGGACTAGAACATGACTTCACATGAAATTCCCATAGCTAGCCCATCTGACAAGCTGATCCAATTATCTTTGCATCTCTCTTATCTTATAAAGTTTATTCTGGTATTCAATTGTTGTTTGTTGAGTTCCATTGATGATTAAAAAGTATCCCGTATTTGTCTTGAAATGTTGCCAACGAAATCAATTAGCTCTTGGAAGTTTGGGAAAGAGAAACGCTTTATCGCTTAAACTGATTTTGAATTGATGCAGTGAGTACATTGTTGATCTTATGGGTGCTCCAGGCACTCTAATCCCTGCTGAGGCGCTCAGTGGTCATCACCAAAATTTTAGTTTAGATACGAGGAGTATTACACATGTTGTAGGGACCACGAAAAGTTCGTGTACACCATTTGAAGAAGGAGCTCTAAGCGGTTCACTTAGGCCTATTAACGACGAAACTTTCAAAATCAAACGTTCAAGTTCAGAATCATCTGCCATTTTCCCCGAGTCAAACAGAGATTGCAGGGATATCAAACTATCATTATGCGGAGTTTGTGAACAGTCAGTAGGTTCTGGAAAGAAAGCATCAGCAAGACAGAAATTGCAAGTTAAAGATGTTAAAAAATGTGTAATCGATGCTACAAAAGAACCAGAGTTTGCTGGAAAACTTGATGCTGTTTTGTCAGAGAATCGCGTAACATCGACCCCAGATGTGCTTTTGAATATGAATTGCCACAATCTTGGAGAGGACAAAGTGTTCATAAAAAATGAATTTGTGAGAGGTGAAAAGATGATTAATTCCTGGCATCATCCAGAGACGTTCTCTGAAAAAGAGAACTCTCTTGTACCTTGTTCTGGAGTGCAGGTATTTAGCAAGGTTTTACATAACAGCAGCAAAAACCATACTGCTGAAGTGTTGACCGGACAACAGCTCAAACTGGATTTTGCCGTCTCTAATCCTGGATATAATTCATCTTTTAATACTCCAGCCAAAGAATGTATGCTTTTTAAAGGTAGAACTGATGAAGTGATCCATGATGATGATGATATCACCGTGGGTGCTGGCTGTGCGAATTTATCTGACAAGGTAGACAAGTCTTCTGTGGAAGTGACAGAAATAGCCTGCAGTAACCAGTCTAGTGATAGCAAGAATCAGAACGTGAAAAATGACCCTGTGCTGAGTGGTGTTGCTGAAATTTTGTGGGAGGATCTACAGATTGGTGAACGCATCGGCATAGGTAATACTCAGTTCATTGGTTTTATTTTCTCGTGTTGAAGGTCTAGATCTATTGTTGACATTGAAGGAAGGTGTCTTCGCATCCTTGCTCCGTTGCTTCTCTTTTGTGGTGTTTGGGGGGTGAGGGGAAGAGAGGAAGACAATAACATTTATTATACTGATTTTATCCATAAAAATTAAGTGAAAATAAATTGTAATGTTTCCATAGTTTCACATGTGAACTTGGATCCTTGAATTTATCCAACTCATTTGACTATACTTCATAGTTCTTCATGAATATGGTTCTTCTGTGATCAAAGTTGGTAAGTAATTGATATTTATTTTTTTTCCTTGTCAAGAAGAAGAAATGTCATGGTTATTAATTTCAGCAGTAAGTCCTCATTTTAGTTGCATTTGTTCAATCCCCTCTATTCCCATTATTGCAACAAATAGTAAAGAGAACACCTTAATTTGCATATTTCTCATTTGAGTTCAGCATTAGTTTAACTGAGATGTCTGTGTTTATCTTCTTACGCGCTGCTTTCTTTATGTTTGCACCATATTGAGAATACGCTATTTTCTTGAGTTAGAAATAGTCTTCGTATATTAACATATTTGTTTCTTTTCATATCTTGCAGGTTCATATGGTGAAGTTTATCGGGCAGAATGGAATGGCACAGTAAGTTACCTTTTTGTGCATTCTTCTAATCTGTTTATAATTATTTTGAAGTAAAACTTGCATTTTATTCTATAAATAAATGCATTTGTTGTCAGTGATTTGTAGGTGATATAGATCTAGCTGCATTTTCCAAATTGTATGTAGGTTTTCTATATCAACACACTTCCTCGATATTCTTGATGTATGTCGCAAGTTTATTGAAGATTATGAGCCGTTAAATTTAACAACTAATTTATTTCCATAAACAGGCTATGTGAGTATTTGTGTAAGTTCCTATTTAGGTTTAATCCATGCTAAGCTCCTTTGATACTATTGGAGGGAGTGATGAATTGGTTTCAAGTAACTGGAACAATTCACCATTTCAAAGAAAATGGTTTTCCGAGATGGAGGAAGGAGACTTAGCCCCTGTTTGGACTCCATTTTATCCAAAATGCATTTTTCTCTCTCTTCTTTTTAACCCCACATTCGCCAATAAAATTACACACAAATTCAAAACTTTTTCTTATATTTAGCCACACATTCTTCGAAAAATCATTGTTCCAAAATACATTTTTCCCCAAAAACACATTTTAATGGAGCCCGAACAAGGGCTTAGCAGTAGAACCTTATATCTCTTTTCTTGTAAATAATCATCAAATATGATGTTATTTTACATCAGGAGGTTGCTGTAAAGAAATTCATGAATCAAGATATCTCCGGCGTTGCACTTGCACAATTCAGATGCGAGGTAAGTGTCAATTCTGTTCGACATGTATTCTCCTCAGTACGTAGGAAAGAGGTAGTACTTCGTGATGATTAAACCCTTTTCTCCCTGCTGCTTTATGCAGGTTGAGATCATGTTGAGGTTGAGACATCCAAATGTTGTTCTTTTCATGGGAGCTGTAACTCGGCCTCCAAATTTGTCCATATTGACGGAGTTTCTGCCAAGGTTTGTATCTCAATAAATTAAAGATTACTCTTAGTTCAGATTTAACAGATTTACCACTGTTCGTGGAGTCTAAATCTCGTATTATCACCTCTTTAGATCCTTTGATTTTGTAACAATGGTAGCATAGGATACAACATATTTTAAATGATTCTTCTGGCATGTTTATGAGGGGATAGGCCATGAGTCAGTTCTATCTATTGTATAAAGATACAAGTGCATACGAAGTCTTCAAGATCTTTTCAGTTTTTCTTGTAAACTGTGAAAAAAAAATTTCATCATTAAATGATGTAATGATTCTGTTTGTTTCCCTTCTTCTCTAGCTGTTTCTAATCCGTTTCTTCTCTATGTGCAGGGGTAGTTTATTTAAACTGCTGCACCGTCAAAATATCCAAATTGATGAAAAGAGGCGAATAAAAATGGCGCTTGATGTGGTATTGATTGGATAATTATTCTGCCACTTTGCTTCTGTTATCATTTTGTCTTCACATCTGTTGATATGCCAAATTTTTTCAGGCCAGAGGAATGAATTACCTGCATACTAGTCACCCTATCATTGTGCATCGAGATTTGAAGACTCCCAATCTCCTTGTTGACAAAAACTGGGTGGTTAAGGTTTGGTTGTTGGGATTTGGTATTGCAATCCTGTAAATTGTGATAATGTGTTCCCCATTTCCCTTACTGAGTTGTCTCGTATTGCTATTTACTAGGTTTGTGATTTTGGGATGTCACGTATGCAGCACAGCACATTCCTGTCTTCCAAATCAACTGCTGGAACGGTAATGCTTGTTAGATCTGGAACTTAGATTTAAAAAAATTAATATATATATATATATATATATATATATATACAGGAATGATCTAATGAGCACCGGTGCTCATCTTATCCTAAGCACCGATGAGTTGGCACATTAATTCATTGGTGGATTGGAACTCACAAAATCTTTATCCACCAATGAATTAATGTGCCAACTCATCGGTGCCTAGGATAAGATGAGCACCGGTGCTCATTAGATCATTTCTGTATATATATATATATTATTTATTTATTTATTTATTTATTGACTTGTTTTCCATGTCTTTATACCCTTCCTCCCACACCCACTCCACCACAAAGAAAAAAAAAGAAATAAATAAATAACTGACAACAGCAGGGAATTATTTACTCATTATATTTTGCAGGCGGAGTGGATGGCACCAGAGGTTCTAAGGAATGAACCATCCAATGAGAAGTGAGTCGAACCTCTATTATGTACTTTTAATGCTTTTAAGAATGTAAACTCTTCTGAACGTTTTATTTCAAATCTTGCTGATGAGATCAGTGTCTCTGGTTTGCAGATCTGATGTATATAGTTTTGGAGTAATATTGTGGGAATTGGCAACTCTTCGTGTACCATGGACGGAGATGAACTCCATGCAGGTTGTTGGAGCTGTTGGATTCCAGGGTAGGCACCTTGAGATTCTGCCCTCTATTGATCCAATGGTTGCAGAGATAATTAGTGACTGTTGGAAACGGTGAGTTCCTAAACTTAAAAGCCTTTCTAGTCCTGATTCTATATCATAATGCCTCGTGGTCTTGTAAATGTCTTGTTGAAATGGATATCTGGATGCTTACCTGACTGTTTAAGATAAATGATGTGCTTGGTGCAAAGAATTTGATAGGACTTGCACAGTATAATTTTTACAAAATTTTAGCTTCTTGTGTAACACCACCAGTCTTGTTTAAAGCTGCTTACCAAACCTACCACAAGCATTTTTATCTCTTGATAAAGGTTAACTGACTTCAGTGTTCTGCAGAAATTCACAGGCACGCCCTTCTTTTAAGCAGATTATCAGCCGTTTGAGGTGTTTGCAGCGTCTAAATTTGCAGACAGAGACTCCTGCATTGCAGCAGTAAGTAATGCTGTTGTATCAATAGCTTAGAGGTTGTTTCCGGACTTAAAGAGCCAGGCTAGAGAGGGTTTAGTCGGGAACCTCTAGTAGACACAAAGTAATTTGTAGAAGGTTGTCAAAAAAGTGTTGGTTCATTCGAAGTGGGGACTAAACACGACCAAGGATATCCTCCTGTTGACAGTGGCACGAAGTGCAGTCAGGAGGGTAATGATGGAGAGCAGTTTGTGGCAAAACACTTCATGATAACTTATGTATGGAAGGCGTAAAAAATTGAGAAATTTTTTTTTACATATATCTATAGGCGTTTTCGCGATAGGTTTATCATTAAAACAAATGTACCATCTATTTGTAAGGAGTCTGTTTAATAAGAAGAGAAAAGGGGAGTTTGAGGAATCTGTGGGGATCATCAAAGGAGCAACTGTAAAAATTAGGTCTCTGCTGTTTGTACTCTCCCTTGGGAGAACTTGATGAAAAATGGAACAAATATTTGCCCTTAAATGTTAAATGTACTTTATATTTTGCTGGTTTATGATGTTTTATGGCATTGAAGTGCAAAGAGAATTACTGGGAATTTTTCAAATCTTTGACTCTTGTGCAGCAGCACAGGTTGATGATTTCTTTTCTTCTTGTCGCTGTACATAGAGGGATCTTACTGTTGAAACCATCCCATCCCATGCCATCGTTGTTCCAAGAATCAATTGCCAGTTCAACTGATAATTGTTATGAAATATCAAAAATGCTACTCGTACACAATCTCCTACACGGTTTCACATGTTGTGGACCCCACACACGTGAGAGGATTGTGTACCAATGTGTGTAAGTATAACAATGTTGTATGAAATATAGCCCTTGTTTGGTGGGGCATTAAAATCAGATTTTATTATATTTTGATAAAAGTTGATGAAATATCTGATTGAAAAGTTATAGATCTCATAAAACATAATTAAAATTAATTTTTGATTTTGATTTAAATTAAATTTTTGATTTTAGTCCTTACCAAATAGGCTTAACACGGTTGGTTACACATTAAAAATGAGTAATGCTATTCATCCCTACTGGGGATGAAAACACAGTTTAGGTAGCATTAATGTGGCATTAAATGATAGGTGAAATAAAATAAGTCATTTAATTTCACCTTTCATTTCACCTATCATTTACAGCCACCTATACTGTATTTTCATCCCCACTGGGGATGAATAACATTACTCATTAAAAATTGGTGTGAAATTCAGTACGGCTACGTGTAAAAAATTGAAATGAAAATTCAAAACCTGTTAAAGGAGTACCGGATCTGCCGTTTTTATTCGGAAATTATTTAAACCCAAATGTTACTCAATCATGCTTGGTGTTCAATGTTTTTAATATGTCATGTGGTATATTGTCATTTGACAGTTTAAAAAATAATTTATCTTTCCAAGTAATACTTCTCTATCAGCCTATCAAACAACATTGTCAACAACGTTATCAAAACACACTGTACAAACAGCGTTATTCAATGTTATCTTTCACCTTTAAAGCAAGAAATTCTTTATTTAAACCCAAATGTTACCATTGACCTTTAAAGAACAAGAAATTATATATTTAATTATTTTTTGACTATCGGTTTGAATTTTCCCCCTTTCGGATCAATGTTTTTCGTATTAGTATTCAAATCAGTTTTGAAAAGTTAAAAACTTAGAAGATTGACTCAAACCCTAAACATACTAAGCTCATGTTTTGTAGAAATTAAAATTCAGATTTTAATACAAGTTAAAGTAAACAACAAATTTTAATTATATTTTATGGGATCCACAACTTTTCAACTACACATTTCATTAACTTTTATCAAAGCTATTAAAAATTTGATTTTAATCCTACAAAAAATGGGCTAAATTCATTGGCGTAAAATGTCTATATCATTTCAATTGGGCATTTGAGCTCTTAAATCGATTTTTCTTTACGTGAAACATCCTTACAGTCCATTTTTTTCCCCTTAAAGTACAGAAAAATGGCGAATTTATCATCTTTAAATAAAGAAATAATTGCAATCAGTCTGCAAATGTTTCACGTGTTGGTTAACTCACCAACTAATAGAAGACATTATTTACAAACTATAGCTTAAATAGGCTCATGCAAAATAAATTCAAAATTCAGTGAGTTACTACAAAATTCAAATCACTACCTTAAGTTATTTTAAGGCAATCCCTCTTATTCTATGGTAATCAAGATGCATCATAAGAAAATTATGTTCAAATTGAGATTATGCATGTGAGAAAGCTTACGTGTTTATGAGATTAACTGATCCAACAAAGACGAAGTCGATCATAATGTTAAAGTTGATCCCCAAGAGTCCCGTGTGGACGAGTTCTTGTTCGTTATGTCAAATGTTCCTCCTCAATAATTTTTTAAAATTATTACTATGCTTTATTCCTTTAACTTTAAATGTGCTAGCTTTACTTTAAATAGAAATTAAGACGTCGTACCATAATTTAGAATGGATTAGTCTTTTATTTTTCAAACAATAGTTAAAAGCAATTAAAACCAATCTAATTGGATCCATATGGAATAACTTTCTAAATATAGTCATAATGTGCCCTTTAGCATCACTTTCGTAATTTGATATGAATCTCACATTATGAAAGAAGTCAAGCTTATAGTGCTATAAATAGAAGTTGGTTAGGTTATAACGATAAGAAAAAGGAAGAGTTGAATTGAATAAACAAAATTCTCCACTCAAAGAATACCTATAACAATAGGCACCCCACCATTACCGCCCCATACCTATAAACAAACCAACTTTTCCAACCCCCAATAAAACCCTCACCCACACCCACACCCACACCCTCACCCCATCAAGAATCCCCTGAATAATGTGGTTTAATATCACTAATGATATAACATCAATTTAAGTGATAAATGTAATTACGATAAATTTAATTAAATAAGTCATTTAATTATATCTTT